CTCACCACTTTAGTAGCCTATTGGTCCCAAGCAAACGATTAACGTACCCTATTCTAGTTGAAATTCTATTACTACACTATGTTTGTTTTGATTCGCTATGAAAGTTTGCCAGATAACATCAGGGGTGTGTGGATTCATGCAGAACATGCAGGGGTGAGTGAAATAGCTTGGGACTGCTTGGGACCGTTGTTCTGGTACTGAGTGAGCCAAAAATAATAATGATTTTCTTCGGGACCCAGTGGTCTTAGAGTTACCTCTATGGCATTACTGCCCCTAAAATGGAATTTTTACAGAAATCATTAATTGACATGATTTCTGATATGCTTAAATCTAACTCCATGTTTGATGCTATTCAAACTGGAGTAAAATTTGCAAATAATATTGTCATGACTTTAAAATTCAGTATTAAATATTGTAAATTGGAATGCTCGATCTCTTAAAGATAATGAAGACGAGCTATTTAACTTTTTGAGAGTTCATAACGTGCATATTGCCGTTATAACTGAAACGTTCCTTAAACCTGACCATAAGGTTAAGAAGGACGCAAATTACTTGATTTGTAGAAATGATCGTCTTGATGGACCCTGTGGTGGCGTAGCCATCATTATTCATAGAAGAATCAAACATAAAATTCTTTCTTCATTTGAAACCAAAGTTTTTGAAACTTTGGGAGTTTCTGTTGAAACAAAATTTGGACAACTCACGTTTATAGCTGCCTATTTGCCATTCCAATGCGTAGGCCAGAAAAAGAATTTTCTCAAGGGTGACCTCCCGAAACTTACCCGTCATAGGTCTAAATTATTCATTATTGGTGATTTTAATGCAAAACACCGCTCATGGAATAATGCTCAAAGCAATTCCAATGGTAATATTCTGTTTGATGATTGTTCTGCAGGTTATTACACTATTCAATATCCAAACAGCCCAACATGCTTTTCTTCTGCAAGAAATCCCTCCACTATTGATTTAGTCTTAACTGATTCATGTCAACTTTGTAGCCAATTGGTTACTCATGCTGACTTCGGTTCTGATCACCTTCCAGTAACTTTTGAAATATCCCAAGAAATAATTTGTAATCCCAATAGCTCTACTTTCAATTACCATAGAGCTGATTGGGAGCAATATCGAACATTTATGGAATATAACTTCGATCAAAACATTCCTTTGCAAACCAAAGATGAAATTAATTATGCTCTTGAATCTCTGACTACTTCTATAGTTGCAGCAAGAGCTGCCTCAGTACCAAAATGCGAGGTTAAATTCGATTCAATTATAATAGACGACAATCTTCAGCTCTTGATCCGTCTTAAAAATGTCCGTAGGAGACAATATCAAAGAACACGCGATCCTGCCATGAAAGTTATCTGGCGGAATTTGCAAAAACAAATTAAAAAGCGATTCTCTACCCTGAGGAACAAAACTTTTGAAAATAATATTTCTAAATTAGACCCGAGTTCCAAACCCTTTTGGAAACTCACAAAAATTTTGAAAAAAAACCTCAAAAGCCAATTCCAGCGCTTAAAGAAGGTGGTAAAATTTTGATCACAAATTTGGAAAAAGCTCAGAAACTTGCTAAGCAATTCGAGAGTTCCCATAATTTCAGTTTGGGTCTTACTAGTCCTATTGAGAATCAGGTTGCTCGGGATTTTCTGAATATTTTCTCTCGGGAAAATATTTTTGATGATTTCTGGGGGATTGATTTGGACGAAGTAAGGTCTATAACTAAAAATTTTCAAAATATGAAAGCACCAGGTGATGATGGAATTTTCTATATCCTCATCAAAAAACTCCCAGAGAGTACCTTGTCTTTCTTGGTAAAATTATTTAACAGATGTTTCCATTTGGCATACTTTCCTGATAAATGGAAAAATGCAAAAGTTGTTCCAATTTTGAAGCCGGATAAAAATCCAGCTGAAGCTTCTAGCTACCGCCCAATAAGTTTGCTTTCTTCAATAAGTAAACTTTTTGAAAAGATAATTTTGAATAGAATGATGCTTCACATCAATACGAACTCAATTTTTGCAGATGAGCAGTTTGGATTTCGCCATGGGCATTCAACTACTCATCAACTCTTAAGAGTTACCAATTTAATTCGTTCAGAACAAATCGGAAGGCCACTCAACTGGAGTTGCTCTTCTAGACATAGAAAAAGCATTCGACAGTGTTTGGCATGAAGGTTTGATTGCTAAATTGAAAAAGTTTAATTTTCCACTTTATATTATGAAATTAGTTCAAAATTATTTAACTGACAGAACTCTGCAGGTAAATTATCAAAATTCCAAATCTAATCGACTACCTGTTAGAGCAGGAGTTCCTCAGGGTAGCATTCTTGGGCCTATATTGTATAACATTTTCACTTCGGACCTCCCTGATTTGCCTCAGGGTTGCCACAAATCTTTGTTCGCTGATGACACAGGCATTTCCGCTAAAGGAAGAAGTCTTCGTGTTATTTGCAGCAGACTTCAGAAAAGTTTAGATATTTTCTCTTCTTATTTACAAAAATGGAAGATTTCTCCCAACGCTTCCAAAACACAACTTATAATATTTCCACATAAGCCTAGAGCTTCGTTTTTGAAACCTAGTAGTAGTCACATAGTCACTATGAACGGAGTTCCAATTTCCTGGTCAAACCAAGTGAAATATCTTGGATTAATACTTGACCAAGAATTAACTTTTAAAGATCACATTGAGGGCATTCAAGCCAAATGTAACAAATATATAAAATGTTTGTATCCTCTTATAAACAGGAAATCCAAACTTTGCCTGACGAACAAACTTCTAGTATTTAAACAAGTTTTTAGACCAGCCATGCTTTACGCTGTACCAATATGGTCTAGTTGCTGCACTACCAGGAAAAAAGCACTTCAAAGGATTCAGAACAAAATTCTGAAAATGATTTTGAAGTTGCCTCCCTGGTACAGTACAACCGAAGTACATAGAATATTGAGACTTTAGAACAAATGTCCAACAAAATAATTAATAATTTCAGGCAAAAATCGTTGCAATCCTCAATTGCAACGATTAATTCCCTTTATACTTAGATAAGATTTAGTTTTAGTTTTTAGTTTTAAGATATCAATTGTTATACTGACATGCAGGTTTAAAAAACCTGTTTAAAATACTGAATTGCCAAGACATGAACAATGTAAAAACACTTAGATATATATCATAACAATTAAGGCTGGTAAGTTACTGCAGTAACTGGAGCACCTAGGTTAAAATGAAATGTAATTTATTTTAAATTTGGAACAAATAAAGAGTAAAAAAAAAAACAATTATGGGACTGATTAAAATAGTCGGATTTAACTTTTAGGATTTCCTACGTAGAATAGAAACAAGCAATACAATGTTTAAATGTAATAGATATTAGAATTTTAATAGAAAATTTTCGTTAATTGAGAAACTCGATAGATGGATAAACTTTATTTTTGCTTTCGATCAGACGTTTTGACCCTCCTGACCCAATCATGGTCATCTTGGTTTCCTTAGGAATATTCTGTGACACGATTTTCTCGGCATCTTGAGCTTACTTTTAGTTCCTCATCTGTACTGAAAGAAAAACTACTTAGTCAGATGATTCGCTGCTAGGAAGGGAGGGGTAGTATCGATTTGTGGAAATATATATTCATCAGTAGGATCTTTGTCCATCGAAGGGCTTTATGAGAGCCAATGAACAATCTGTATTCTCTCGATCATTAGACACATCATAATTTACACTCGGGTGCATCTCATGCCAACGATAGCAAAACATCGTTTTTTGTAGCTAGGTCGATCTTGACCTTTGCATTTTAACATTTTGAATGGCTTAAAAATAGAAATTAGTAATACTATTTCATAGACATAATAAAAATATCCACCCATTAACATGAGTTTTCATATGAATTTGAATAAAATTTAATACACGGCGAACGACTCGATATAAAAAAAGACAACAACAAACCTCTACACTAGCAATACGTCATAAAAACAAGTGTTACTTCGATGAAAATATATTCTTAGTTAAAAATACTTAAAAATACTTACGATACTTACGAGGAATTTAAAAATATTTAATTGATATTAGGTCTAAAGTTAAGAGTGAGATGCCCCTAGTATTGCGCCTTCTGTCTACAAATCATGAAAACCATAATAGAAAACAAATACAATCAATGTTTTCAATACAAAATCCCAATTATTTGATAGGGGAAATGGATGTAATGTCGGCCTAAATGCCCCTAATTTGGGTCCATACATAAATTCAGCAATCGACTAAATTTTAAGTACCGACCAAAAATATCCATTAGTACCGTCCCAATGACGCGTTCATCTAAATAAAATTGACAAATAGCAGATTTTTAGCGATGAGCCCAATGTTAAATCCATAGGCCAACATTGGAGCTTTTTCCTCTATCATCATATTTATTTATAATTTTTTTTATTACCTTTCATGTGATATTTTGATCTTTGAAATTGGCCCAGTTGTTAAAAAGTTATAAATTTTTGAAAAAAGTCATTTTTGAAAAAAAAATTGAATTTCTGGACCACCCTTACATGGAAATGGTCACTCTAATGACAAAATAAAAAAAAATACTGGTCTAACATTTTGCGATAAGGAACAAAACTGCCAATATCGTTTTGCTATGGAATGGCTGTGCATATATTTTTTTCCTTGATGTGTCTTCCATCGATCTGTTTTCCGTACTGAGAACCAATGCAAGCGACGCCAAGGAGGCAGCTCCCACACCTGGACCCTACCTATCGACCCATCACCACTCATAGACCGGGGACCAACGGCTTTACTTCCCTTCCGAAGGGAGATTTTATGCCTCAGAAAATCTCGACGGCGCCGACGGGGATCACACTGACCCTCATATTGAAACTAAAGCAACACCACTATTACTGGAACAAATTGCCCCTCAACTGTACCCAATTTCAGATTCATAGAAGCTCCGCGGAGCCTCAGGCGGTGCGATATTTAATTATTAAACAGGATTATTCAATCACTCAATAAAAATTCCTACCGTCATGATCCACATTGATGTGCAAACTGTTCCCCAGCAGGGGCATGCTGGCCGGTCCGGGAATTTTCTCGATCAACTTCACCAGACGGGCTCTTCTCTTGTTATACGCGTAGACGGCTCCGACTATCATCGTCGTTAGGATTATGGTAATCGGTGAAAAGTAGCTCATCATTTTCGCTGCCTTGGACAGCACGAAACTGCTCTTCACGTATGCTTCGATCATGTTGCTATCTATTTTGCTTTCAAGGAAAAAAAAAGCAATCGAGATTCGTGTGCTAGTATCACAGATGCTCTCGCTCTCGCTTTTGTTGTCGTTGACTTGGCCTATTAGAACTTTCTGTTTGCTTCTATCGTATCACTATACTACACTGCCTACATTGGTATCACATTCACTAGATTGGAATCGGTCGAATCGGTTTATTGAATGTTTTGACACGCGGTACTCCGGATCGTCTACCACGTGTTTGTGTGTCCTGGGTCCTATGTCTTACGCGCGAGCGCGGCCGAAAGCTAAAACCAGACTAGTCCTGCCCGCATGGGCAGACATATATTTATAACTTTTGTTTGGTCGCACGCGTTGCGTTGCATGGAATAAACAACATCAACGTCGGAGATCAACGTTGTCGCTTCCCAAAAAACAAAAAAAAAAACCGAAAATATAAACCCATACATCTCGCTTGCGACAGTAGCAGCGGATTTTCCCACTGAGGCTGCGACAAAAGGTTCGTCGCTTGTGACCATACATTGGAGAGCAAGTCTTTAGATTTTGGTAGGAAACTACATACAGTTGCATTTGATGGGTAGCAGAGCGAGCGTGGTTTGGAACGTTTGATTCTGTTTTATTTTATTTTGGTGGAAGGGAATGGTGGGAGAAGTGCGTCAGAGATTTGTTTGGACCACGGTTGACTGTGACCAAAACGACGGCGGCAACGACTGAACGTTTGAAAACAAGTTGGTCAAATTTTGCAACCTATAGCACAAAGCTAGCTGTTGTCTTTTTTGGGGTCTGGCTTTCTGAAATGCATCCAAATGTAATTGGTTTGTTTTTGGCTTTGTTCCTACTTATGAGATGAAGGTGGTATTTTGTTGCGCGATGTTTGCCTTGAAATTTATTTTTAAAAATTGGCTTGGCGATATTTTTTCCAATCTTGCGGTAAGGAAAATCACTGAAGAATTATGGGCGAAAATCAACATAAATATGGCGTTGAAAATCTATGTTACGAAATGGCATTATTGCGAGAGGAATGAATGATAAGCCCTAAGGAAATAAATTACACTCGTCTACAGTCTTTGGATTTTTGATTAATAACTTTAGAATGCACTCAGACGGTATCCAGATAGACGCACGAAGTGCCTGCCTTGATTACCGGGTACCATCCCACGATGCACTCCCATTCATTACCGGATCCCGGCCAGCAGCGTCTTTATTAGCTTCCAGAAGCGTCGTCACTCTTCTTGCACACTGAAAGCGTCAAGACTCATTTTTTATTAACCACAAAATAAGACTACACGCCGAGATAATGTTCCGAGGCGTTTCCATGCTGCACCTTCCGTGTGCTGGTGGTGGTGTTGAAATCGCTTAAACATTGACTGACGTCCATCCGAAACCGTCATTGATCACACTTGTGAGCACCAGGACTGCTGCGTATGAAGAGTCAAGATCAAGTACACAACGTGCACGTACATAGGAACCGGCCGGCACGCATAACGTACGTTAAATGCCCGCAGGGAACTGTTTTCTCGCCGGTAATGTCGATAAATTACACACTCTATCGGGCTAAATGTGCCGCAGTAAAACAAGTACAAATAAGAGATTAGGTATACACAGGATCCACCATCCTTGCCTTCATTTCAGTTCATCCTGTCGGCGTTGCACAAAATTCGAAAGGGAGCACGGGTTGGGAGATCAAGGCCGACCGGCAGACCTCGGGCAGATGTGGTTTAGCCACTGATTGAGCAGAGCATTAATATGAAAAGCAAACAAATAGATTGTGCTCCTGGAAGTGGTGGAATTCATTACGATAGAGGAATGGGACTTTGATGGTTCAACGCAAAGGTTGGATTTCACAAGCTCAGCAATTATGGCAAGTGAGTCGCATTGACCAACGAGTTTGTAGTGAAGTGAATGAACTTTCTAGGGGTTTAAAGGTAAAGATATCGGAGGACTATCGTGAAATTGAGTTAAATGGGTCATTGGGCTCATTCTTCATCATACGACATTTGACATCATTTAATTTGAACAGAGCAAGCAGCAATTGGATTCTTTCATTTTGAAAAAAAAAAAATATCTGTTTTCTTCATCATCTGAAAGAGCTTCGTTTTTTGAGCACAAGGATATTTTTTCGAACCCATAGATTTTCATCTCGATTTTTAAATCAAGATTTAAAGCAAAATAATAACTTCACTATTCATGTTATCGCACTTATTTAAAATAGTTCCAGTGTACCACAATTGACATCACAACACCCTTAAAGAAAGCAATTCAAGAGCAAATTTTCATTATGTCGAAAGTAACATTCGCACCGATCCGAGAAAAATAAAGTTTTGTATTGATGACTGAAAAGTTATTCCTATTTCCAATTAAACACATTTAATCTCATAGTGTTAACAATGTTTAACATACTAAGCAGGGTTTTAGTCATAAAAAGCAAATCGCTAGCTTTAATGCTAAAAAATACTGGTTTTTGAGTCAATAGTTATCATACGTCGTTTGGTGGCCCCCTAATGTTGCTTAAGTCAAAGTGTATTTACCAGGATATTCGGGAGAATTATCAATCAAGTCTCCTTACGTGCCGCCCATTCATAATTTTAGGACCACCGAAATCATCTTAGCAACAAACAGTTCGATTTCGTATTCTAGTGTAAATGGGAGTGCAAATTGGGCTCAATGTCTCATAGAGCTAAACGGAGCCGAGGGATTAATATATTTTTACTATTATTGAGTTGTTGATTCTGTTTCTCCATTTTCTTTTTCTTATGCATCGCTTCGTATGCGGCAAGATTTGCCTGATGTTTTTGCTTTTGCTGGTAGTAGTTCAGTTAGAGTTCTGACTGTTGGGCTTCGTTTTCAGTCTCCGCGGTAGCCAGATCAATTTTCACCACCTCTTCATGAAATACCTGTATCACTTCTTCTGTTTCCTGGTTGTTGTAGTCCAACGATGCACCTCCAGCCATTACACCAGCAGCGTACGTACTGCTGTCCCGCTCTGTTCTTTACCCTGATCTAGCTTTTTTCCGACCTGTTTGGCCTGACTTTACTTCGCTTAGAGCAGGAGTTCATCCGGTACCACTCCGTTTTCCAAAGAAAGCATTTATCTTTGTTCCCAGCATAAAACATAATCCCTTTCCGATTAAGGAAATTATGGAAATCTCCTTGTTCACGTCCATTCATACACCTCGCACACCTGTGTACATGTCGAGGCTCACGACGCTGCACTCGTGGAATGTACCCTTCACCGAGCGATAAAATCCGGCCAGAAAAGTGCAGTTTTCTTTAAGGGGAAGAAGATTATCTGGTGGGCGGGAGTTTGGCACCATTGGAGTCAACTGGTCCTAGGGAAGTGGTCACGAGCAAGCATGTACACAATTTCAAAGATGAGCGGGGATTTCTGTTACAGTCGAACTCAGGCCAATTGTACGACCAAAAGAACGAGGAGAAAACTGCTCAACTGATGGCTTGCCATGGACTCAAAGCTACCAAGTCCAACCAATCCAGCCATGAGCTGGAACTGTATGTGGCCATATGTTACGTTCAATGGTGAGTACATACTGGAATGAGAATTTTAGCACACCGTTTGCCCTAATGACGATTTCTTTTACATAGGGTCTAGTATAAGAGGGAAGTGGACTGGCTGGTATTGATGCAGGACTACGTCTTTAATTTCTATACTGGGGGTACTCTTTGTGAAAACCGAAAATGGAAGATGAAACAAAATTATGAAACATTTTGAACATTAATAACCCTGGATAAATTTCAATAGTTTTATCACCAATCGATCAGAAATATTTCTACGCATCTATAGCAATGCTTTTGACTCATGATTTTCAACAAGAAACCATTGAAAAGTGGTCATGTCAAGCATTGTCCAATGTTCAAATAAAAAGTGATAATTTTATGGGTACACGAAGTTAGGCATACGGTCGTTAGGCATACGGTCGTTAGGCATACGGTCGTTAGGCATACGGACGTAAGGCATAATATACGATAGGCACAATGGATGTTAGGCATACGGCCGTAAGGCATAATATACGATAGGCATAATGGACGCTAGGCATAATCTACCCGATGAATTCAAGAAGGATGATAATGGGGACCGTCTATTGATTGCTGACTTTGGTGACAATAATGAAAGAGCCTTAATTGACCACTTTGTCAAGCAGTTTTGGTGTAACTTTCTACCAGCGATTTCACAAAACTGGTCCAACTAATTTATATTTTTTTATGAATCGCACAAATGTTGGCCACTTTTCTCGTGGTTCTAGAAGAAAAAATCTCAAAATAATGTTTTATTTCAAAGCTCGAGTGGTAGTAAACGTCATGTTAACTGCTCGAATGAAAACTTGCGACGTCTTGGACAGGCAAAGTATTGGGTTACAGATGGTACGTTTGCCACAGTTCCTTGTTTGTTTCGGTAACTCGTCACTGTTCATGGAAGTATCGCTCCCTCACATCAGCAGACGGTTCCGTTAGTTTTCATTCTGATGACAACAAAAACAGAAGTATAGAAAAGTATAGCAGGAAAACTTTTTCTTCTTTGACAATTGCAATATGTGTGTAAGAATATATTACAACAAATGTGTTATTTTTTTTTATTTCTAGATGCGATTGATTTCAAGATATAGTTCAAAACTATGCTGAGTTTTCATTGCCAGATTACTTAACCGCTATCGCTACTAATCTTGGATCTAAGTAAATATGTAGCTACGTCACTTATGATATGATAAATAATGGATTCCAAACTGTGCTTATTAAATAAACTATGTTTGTTTAACTTGTATCATTTTTTATTCAACGCTTAGCCTAATTTAAGCATTGTTTACCATGCCTGAAACAGGTTTCTAGAGTTGCACAGCAGCAAAGAATTTTATGCCTAACGTCCATTATGCCTAATGACTTTATGCCTAACGTCTATTATGCCTAACGTCCGTATGTCTAACGTCCGTATGCCTAACGTTTTTATGCCTAATGGGGTACACTCTAATTTTATCACTGTTTTCATGAAATAAACGTTCTTCCCAAACCCCGTCGTCATAATCGAGTACCACTTGGTTGCA